TTTTTTTTTTTTATTCATATGTGCATACAAGGCTTGGGTCATTTCTCCCCCCTGCCCCTACCCCCTCCCTTACCACCCACTCCGCCCCCTCCCTCTGCCCCCCACCCCCTCAATACCCAGCAGAAACTATTTTGTAAAAGGCTGGCTTTTAAAGAGATTTCCTACTGGGTGCTGGTGGCTCACGCCTATAATCCTAGCTATTCAGGAGGCAGGGATCAGGAGAATCGTGGTTTGAAGCCAGCCCAGGCAAATAGTTCACAAAAAAACCCAATACAAAAAAAAAAAAAAAAAAAAAGGGCTGGTGGAGTGGCTCAAGTGATAGAGCACCTGCCTCTCAAGTGTGAGGCCCTGAGTTCAAACCCCAGTACCACCACCAAAAAAAAAAAAAAATTTCCTGAAATTCTACCTAAAAACGTCACCTGATATCTATTGACCATCACCATATGTGGTTTCCCATGAGAATGGTAGCTATACAATTTCAGTTAGTGCAATGATATACCAACAGAAAGGGGATAATAGATATTTGGAAAGCCAGTGAGGGCTTCAGGGTCACTTGGAATGTAGAAAGGAGGAATAGATAGCTTCCTACTACATTTCAGGGTGACAATGGTTCAATATGACACATTTATTCCCTCTGATTACTTACCAAATGAATTGAGCAAATGCAAAAACTACAATTTTTTTTATTCAAAACATAGTTTTTATTTATTTATTTATTTTTTTTTTTTTCTTTTATTATTCATATGTGCATACAAGGCTTGGGTCATTTCTCCCCCCTGCCCCCACCCCCTCCCTTACCACCCACTCCACCCCCTCCCTCTCCTCCCCTCCCCCTCAATACCCAGCAGAAACTATTTTGCCCTTATTTCTAATTTTGTTGTAGAGAGAAAAACTACAATTTTTTGAGGGTGTGTTTTTTTTTTTTTTTTGTCAAATTCCAATTTATAGCCCATCTAAACAATCACCAATTGTCATCCCTGAGTGTGTTCAACAAGTTTTACCTGCTTCACTCTGGTGTTTTCCAGTCAAACACATACATATTCTCTTGAAAAATTAGTCAGTGAATTGACACAGGTATCGGTGACTCACGTCCGTAATCCTAGCTACTTGGGAGGCTGAGATCAGGAGGATTTTGGTTCAAGGACATTGCAGGCAAATAGTTCATGAGACCTCCATCTCCAAAATCACCAGAGCAAAATGGACTTGAGATGTGCCTGCTTTGCAAGTGAAAAGCCCTGAGTTCAAACTCCAGTCCCACATACACACACAAAAAAAATAGCCCCTTTGTTGTGCTCTGCAATTTGAAAGTTGCTGAAGAAGGATTAAAAAGGAGACATAAGCCCTAAGTGCCTTGTGTTCAGGAGTCATCAGATTGGACAAATAAAGCCAAATAACATTCTAATACACATAGAATTAAAGGTCTGCAAATTTTTGACCTATCAACTCTACTTAGAAAAATACAATCCAAGAAAATTATTCCAGGTGCATGAAGACTTAACTGTGTGGACAACCATTCATGGATGGCAAACAGCACAGTTAAAAAACAAAACCCTGCAATTTCGATAGATTCACTCAAGATGTTATGGTTTTCCTACGCAACTGAATACAGTGAGGTGAGTTAAATCACCTGCAGAGTGTTCATGGCACAAAGTACATGCTCACAATTTATTGTTAGGTGGAAAATACGCAATTTACTAAAAAGCATGTTTTGTATTTTCAATGTTGTTCACAAGCCATCTCCCCCTTCTTTGAGAACTGTTCTCCAGATTGTAAAGACTTCAGTGCATCTTTTGGTTACTAGATAGTGTCTGCTGATTGGATAATCTGACCTAAGATGGACCAATCAAATTCTGTCTCTTAGTAATCTGATATTGAGATTTACAAATGCATCTGTTTTTGGTGGAGACTTGAATATACAGTATCACAAATAGCTAAGAAGCTGAGTATATGGTTGTGCACAGCTTAGCCATGTATAGGCAGAGGCAAAGAAGTATCTTCAGAGAGAAAAGAACGAAGCATATCAATGTAGAGAAACTGAAGCCAGAACCCCCCATGTGCTCCCAGAGGGCTCTGCTGACCAGTTCCAGGCTCTAATTCTGACTTTGGAGTTCAGAAGACCCCTCAGTTTCCTTTTAATAATTCTTTGTTCTGTAACGTGGCCTGACAGGTTTGCTCTTCCTTGATCTAACCCAAGTTAGAAACCCTGAGAGCTATTTAAGACAAGTAGCAATAGAGTCATGGCTATTACGAGACAGCTGGGATTTGTGACAGTGTCAGCTGACAGTCAGGTACTTTTAGGGGCAAGCTCCTATGCTTAGGGGAAAAGAGGGCTGTCCTTTTAAAAAACGGCCACTTGAACCACCCCACCAGCCCTTCTTGCTCTGGCTATTTTTGAGATAGGGTCTCACTTTGTGCTTCCCTGTGTAGCTGGGATGACAGGCGCACCACCCTGCTCAGCCATTGGTTGAGGTGGGGTCTTGAAAACTTTTGGCCCTGGTTGGTCCTGAACCAAAATACCTTCCTGTTAATCCCAAAATAAATGACCATGCATTTTATCAATGTCCATTTGCAAAGCTGTTTTATGTGTATTTACAGCTGTGAAGACAAATCATTTATAAGGATTGACATCATGATCAGTGTTCCACACTTACTAGGACAAAATCTCTGCAGCAATCAGGCAGCTTCAACTGCTTATTGAAGTTAGAAAAAAAAACAAAAAACAAGTTTGTTTTACTTAGATTTTATGTTGAAACTTTCAAATACATTTTACAAAGAGGGGTTGAAATATAGATGTTTATGAGAAGAGGCCAGCTGAGTACTGAATGCTGAGCCTGGCACAAGCCTGGCTCTACCAGTGAGCCTGGGGCCCCACCCCTGGGCCCTGTGTTTTGAACAGCTGGACTACAGGAGTAACACAGTCAGTCTCCCGAGCTGGGTTTGGCATTCTTTGTGGCTAGACTACTACAAAGTATGGGCTGTTGATTATACTGGGGACAGAACAAGGACAGGATGGTGACCCACACAAGTCGGACAGCGTTCCCACCTGCATGAAATCCAGCCCACACAAGCCAAGGTCTTGCCTGGCTTCAGCTGGCTGTTCACACTCTCATTTTCTTGTGGCAGATAGCAAGTGGAGTTGCCAGGTTACTGCTGATGACGGTCATTTTTAGAAGCATTAGGGCGGTGTCCTGCACTTTGCATGATTCCTCTTGCAGTCCAGGGCACGTCAGGAATGTTTAAACAGAAACCATTGCTTGGTGTTTGATCCCTTGGCTCCAGTTCAGTCCTTAAACTTGAGTGGTCATGATGGTCTGTCACTTTTTTCTTTTCACCATCCTTCCAACTGCTCCGTAAGAATACGGTGCAATTATCTGGCGTGAAGCTGTAAAAACAAGATGTTCACTACAGGAAGGGAAGTGAGAGCTGGACTTTGGGCTTTGCCGATAGTGCATTAAATGACGCATCTTTCAATGTGGAACGTGAGGGCGTGGCCGTGTTTCGGCCGTTTCCTCTTTGCTTGGAAGGCAGCGTTCAAGGCAGCTTTCGGAGCGCCCCGGAAGACGCGATCTCGCACAGGTCGCAACGCTTTCTGTAAAATGGGCAGAGGTCACCGCCGACCCGAGCGCGAGAAGGCGGGGCGCCCATCTGTGCACACCGGCAGATGCAAGCTGGCCGTGGTGGGCCTGCGGGAGGGGCCGGGCCTCGCTGGGTCGAAGTTCAAGCCCCCACGCCTGCCCCCCGAGGCCTTTGCTCCATGAAGTCGCCAGGCGACCCCTCCTCCCGTAGCGCGCCAGGCGCACTGTCTGCTTCCCCAACTTTCAAAGTCTTGCACACAGCAATCACCCATGGCCCGATCTGCCTTTTTACCTAAAAATGCATCTAGGAACCCGCACACAAGGTTCGCCTTCTTGCTGTCCAAGCCGTCGCGGGTAATCGAGAGGTCACTCGGTCAGTCTGTTACCGCGCAGGTGCGTTCCGTTCACGTCCCGATGCCTCACCGGCAGAATCCGGGCCGGGCGGCTCGGGACTGGGTGTCGCGGGGCGGACGCCGGGGGCTCGCTAAACCACGGCGCCGCGCACCGCGGAGGCCGGTCGCTGACAGCCCCATCCCGGCGGACGCAGCCCCGGGGCCTCCGCGGTGCGCGGACCCACGCCGCGCGAGCCCGGCGACGGGGACCGAGGGCGGGGCGGGCGGCCCGGCCCCAGCCCTTTAAACCGGCGCGCGGGAACCGCGGCCCAACAGCCACAAGCCGGCGGGGCGGAGCGGGGCGCGCGCCGCCGCCGACCAACGACCGCCCCCGGCTCCACCCCCTCCCTGCGGCCTCTCCAATCAGCAACTCCCTAGCTTCCTCCCGCCCCCCGGGGTCTGCGAGTGGGCGGGGCTCCGAGCGGGTGTGTCTGGGCCAGGGCGGACTTCTCGCGCTTCCCTCGGAGTTTCGAACGCTGTTGGCTCTCAAGGCGGGGGGAGGGGGGGAGGAAATGAGAGCAGCGGCCAATGGCGCGGCAGTAAGGACCCGCGCGCAGGCTTGGCCCCGCCCAAATGCGGCTAGCAAGCAACCCAGGCTCGGCCATTGGCTCGCGCCACCTGTCACTCGCCGCTGTGGCCAGCCGGCAGGGGCCTCGCGGTGATTGGTTCCGCCCAGGCGCGAAATGTAACGCGGGAAAAGTAGGAGCAGGGACCGCGGTGGCAGGTTGTTATTTTCGGGGGCTCGCTGTCGCACGTCCTGCCTTCCTGTCACCGCCAGGCCAGGCTTCCCGCCGCTGCAGCCTGCCTTGCGGAGGGGTGTGTACCAAGAGCCGCGGGGTGGGCTCGATCCAAGGCAGGGGTCGTGTCCGCCTGGCCATGAGCCGGACGGACTGAGCCGGCCACTCGGAGCAGCGCGGGCGAGCGAGCCAAAAAAAAAAAAAAAAAAAAAAAAAAAACCAAAAAACCCCAAAACCGGACCCAGGCTCATCGAGTGTAGCCCAGGGCTGCCGGAGCTGCGGATCGGGACCGGGCGATGATCCGGGGCGTGGAGGCGCCGATGGCGGACAACCCGCCGCCGCCGCCGGTCATCTTCTGCCACGACTCCCCGAAGCGAGTGCTGGTGTCGGTCATCAGGACGACCCCGATGAAGCCCGCGGGCGGCGGCGGAGGGGAGTCGGAGCCCCCGCCGCCGCTCATCCCCACCAGCCCCGGCTTCAGCGACTTCATGGTGTACCCGTGGCGCTGGGGCGAGAACGCGCACAACGTGACGCTCAGCCCCGGGGCCACGGCGGTCGCCGCCTCGGCCGCGCTGCCGGTGGCCGCCGAGCACCCGGGGCTACGGGGTCGGGGCGCGCCCCCCCCCGCCACCTCGGCCCCCGCCGCCGCCGCCGCTGCCGCCGCCGCCTCGGGAGGCGAGGACGAGGAAGAAGCCAGCAGCCCGGACAGCGGCCACCTCAAGGTGAGCGGCACGGGCGGGCAGAGGGACGGACGGATGGGGCGCGGGGCAGCGGCGGCCCGTTAACGGCGCGGCCTGGTGGCCCCGGTGTCCCCCAGCCGACGCGCCGGGCAGGGCGGGGCCGAGTTTAAAACGCAAGGCTGCTTGGGCGGCGGCGGGGGGCGGTGGCTGGCAGGACGCTGACGTCACTGTCGCGCGCCAAAACCGGCCCCCGGCGCCGGGGGGGGGGGGGGAGGAGGAGGGGGGGGCGGGGCGGTCACGTGACAGGCGAGCGGTCCCCGGAGCCTGGAGGCATCGGGTCAGCAGGTGCAGCGGGCGGGAGCGCCGTCTCCCGGGGCGCGCAGGGGTCAAGTTCACGGTCACTGTGGCGGGAGAGGGACGCGTGGGGACTGTCACGGTCCCTTGGGTGCGGGAAGGCAAAGGAGCGCGCAGTCGCTGCTCCATTATGCTGCAGGTCACCCTTGTCCTTGCTAAAAGCTGTCTCGGAGTCGTAATCGGAGAGCTACCCGGGACTTTGAGGCATCTTCCTTTGCTGTCCCAAGGACGCTGATGGCCGGCTGGTGACAGCACACAGGGCAATGGGACTCAGTCTCACGTTAGTGAGGGCAGGAAGGGGTGTGAGCTTACACACCAGGCCACTGAGGTCCAGAGGACTGGCAGAGTGATGCGTGACCTTCCCAGGATATCGGTTGGGTCGTGGGACAGTGGGGACCGTTAGTCCTGCTGTGTCACTGCTGCACCTGTGTCCAGGGCGCTTGCAGACAGAGCTCAGCTCAGCCCTATCTATCGACTAAGCTCCAGGAGGACCGGGCCTAATTTCAGTCTGTTCACTATTTGACTTTAATACATTTCCTCATGCAACTGCCCAGTGAAGATGCTCCCTAAATAATTTGGGCGATGAATAAGTGGTGCTAATATAGGGTTAATAACCAGGTTCTGTTCACTAAGTGACTGTACAAAAGGTACACAATTTGTTGAAGTTGTTAACAAGTCACCTAGTGGATAAGGGCATCTGTATTGGTGGCTGCTATTTATTAAATTGAAACAAGTTTGCTCATCTCACAGGCAAGACTGTTGAAACTCCACACTGGCTTGAGAAAGTTTATACTTTGTTACTAATGGTCTGTTTCTTAAAGAATTATAAAGTTTTGAGGGGAGGCTTTGGCACACTCCAAGTCTTGAAAGTGCAGCCTGGGTAAAAATTGGAAAGAACAGCAGCAATGTTCACAGTAGCTCTGAGTGTTAGTGAAGGACACAGTGACTGTTGACTGGCTCTAGTAGCCCCTCGATCTTAGCTATCGAGGCATCTTAGGTGTCTAGATATTTTTCTAAGCACGCATGCACGGTTTAGTCCTTCAAATACCTTAGGCTGTGTACTTTTAAGCAATGTAATAAAGCATACACACAGATACTTGGGGAAGAGTCTGCGTGTATGATTTTATTCTTATTTTTAACTTGATCTAGTTTTGGATTATCCTACAAGATGAATGTTGCTGTCATACGTAAGTGAAATCTGTCAGTATGTTCTTTTTGGCCTGAATCACTTATCTTCACACCAACGTCTAATAAAAGTCGTTAGCACAATGCGTGGGTTTGAGTTTTCTTTCCACATTTTTTTGGTGGCACTGGGGTTTGAACTCAGGGCCTCATGCTTGCTAGGCAGGTGCTCTACCACTTGAGCCACACCTCCAGCCCTGTCCCCTCTTTCAGAGGTAAAATAGACCGGACATTCTGAAGAACATGTGGAAGAGAAAAGGCTATTTTATCTTTTGTAAGTTGTTCAATAAACTGATTTTAATTTTTTTCCTTCTGTCAATGAAGAAATCCAAGTACAGCTCCCCAAATGCATTTGTTTTATTTGCTCACCTTGAGAGAAAGATCTGGACTATACCTTTATTTAAGAAAGTTACCTGCTTTGGCTTGCGTTGCATGCACTGGTTTAGAGGGAGTCCCAGCCCCTTCCCTTTCTCGCTTCTCTGAAGTACTCGTAATTTTTAATTCATCTCCACGTACATCATGGAGGGACCTTGCTGACTCTGCTCCCTTCCTGGGAAGATGGGAGACACATTTGTAATACAACCAGTGCCAGTAACTCGCTCCCTCCACCCCCTCAATATGCCTCTTAGTGGCACTAACGGCTGTGCCTTTGAGGACATTTGTGTTCACTTACTGTTTGTTGCCACCACTCCCAGGGGAGGTCTGAGTCCTATACTTCCTGTGTCAGCTTTCTGTTGCTCTTTTGTTTCTTCCTGCCCATCACTGCCTCCCTTGCCTGGGAGAATAGCCTTCTTTCATTTGCCAATTTCTTTTGGCCCCTTTTTACAAGATTACTTAGCATTATTGATGCATAATTACAAATTAACATCATCTTGGTGGTGGTAAGATTCTGGGAAGGAGGAGAGCAGGTGTGACATTCCCCAGGCTATAGGGTACTCCAAGCCTCCCCAGCTTGTGCTCCTCCACCCTCTAGTCAGACGGCATTACTGACATGACGTCTTCACTATAGGGTCAAGCTTCAAGTTCCTACCGCTTGAGCCAAACCTCCAGTCCATTTTTGCTCTGGTTATTTTTGATGGGATCTCTTGATCCCTGGGCTGGCCTGCCAATCGTGGCTCTCCCAATCCCAGTGGATAGGATTCTAGGTGTGAGCCACCAGCGTCTTACACAACTCTTAGGTGGATTTGTACGTGGTAATTTCTGGTCACCACCCTGTTAAACCTAATACCTGGAATGGAATAAGCACTTCCTAATGTTAGCACCAAACTACCAGGCCCTGTGGTGAGCATTTTGAGTTCTTTAATTCATTGAATCCTATTTACCTGGTGGTGAAATTAGAGAAGAATCCCCAAGATAAAGATTTTTATGGTAGGTGGCAGAACAATGGGAACCTTCCAGAGCCCTTGATTTTAATCCTTACACCATTCGGATTCCAGGTATAGCACCTGTAAGCTGACTTTGTATGAAATGCACATGTTTTTTATAGCTGGTCTGTATCTCACCGAGATGCTTTATGTGCACACACACAATTCAGAGATGCGTTGGAATGAAGGCGTGGGGAGTTGTGAGGACTGGCCAGAGAGGTAGTTAGGAAGCACATTGGGGTGGGTGGTAGGAAGTTTGCATCTGGATCTGAATTTGAGGGGGGAAAAGGATCGATTATATTTTCTCATCAAGGCATCCACGCCTCCCCCTAAGACCTGTTTTTTCTTTCCTTTCTAGGTTGTGTTCCTGCCTTATATTTCAATTTTACTTACATAAAAATGTCAAGGACTTACAGGGTTTTTTAGTCATCATACAACTAAACCCTCAAAAGCATTAAGCTCACCTTTTGGAGGTGCTGAAATTCTGTTTTTAAAATTATACTTTTTTTTTTTTTGGTGGTACTGGGGTTTGAACTCAGGGCCTCATGATTGCTAGGCAGGTGCTCTACCACTCGAGCCACTCCACTGTCCCCCAAATTACACTTAAAAAGATTTTGGCAATGTAACCATCTGCTTCTTAGAATTTCCTGCTGGCACTGTCTTCTTGTGAATGGTCTTGGCAAGATTTGTCCCTTAGGTGACATGCAATTGGTGGGCTTATGCTGAAATTGTCAACATTTGAATAGGAATATGGCTATTAAGGCCAAAATGAACATGGTCCTCTTTAAGTAACACTGCCTATTTTAATATGTATGTATTGTTAAAAGAGGTCTTTATCATTTATTTCGGGCATGCGGTGACTTTCTGGTATCTTATTTAGTGAAGTCTTACCTATATGTGGTCAATATGTTTTTGATATTGTATTTACACTTTCTCATTTCTCAAAAATAAAAAACGTTTTGCTTGTGGAAGGTTTTATACCTTCCTCACTATTAGAAATGCTTTGCCCCCCCAAGAAGCAGAGAATAGTAATGGCCTAATATTGCATTTCTTATATTAATTAATAAATCAATTATTTCAAATTGCAGTAGAGCCAACAACATGTTTTTAGGTATTTAAAAATATCAGGAAAAGGAAGTTTTCATGGCGCTTGTATCCCTCAAGGTGTTTTTTTCTTTGTTTGTTTGTTTGCTTTGGTGGTGCTAGGGATTGAACTCAGGGCCCTGTGTTTGGTAGATATCGTTCTGTACCACTTGAGCCACACTTCAGCCCATTTTGCTCTGGTTAATTTGGAGATAGGGGTCTAATGAACTATTTGCCTTGGCTGGCCTGGAACTTTAATCCTCCCAATCTCAGCCTCCCAAGTAGCTGGGATTACAGGCCTGAGCCACTGGCACCCAGCTTAATGAAAAATCTTTTTTGGGGGGTGAGGGTGGGGAGAAGTACTGGGGTTTGAACTCAGGACCTCACGCTTACTAGGCAGTGCTCTACCATTTCAGCCACTCCACCAGCTCTCACTCAAGTTTCCAAGCAGATTTCATGTTCCATTTCTTAGGAGAATCAACTATTATTTTTAATTGGTTTTTTTTTTTTCAGTGAGAGAGGTCAAACCCAAGGCCTACCTCATACTAGACAAGGCTGTACTCCCCAGCTATATCCCTGGCCCCTATTTTGCATTTTTAAACAGATTTAAGGAATTGCTCACAAAACGGTAACAATGCCAGTCGATTCTCTGCCTTTACTCCTGCCCACTCTGAGCTAACAGGTTAGCAAGCAAGACTAGACCTAGATGTGGCTTGTGAGGATCACAGCCAAAGCGGAAGGAAGGTGACATCATTTGATAGCCCCCAATAACTGCCACAGTCGCCTTGCTGATTTGGACTTAATCGGTCAGTCAGTCAAAGACCATGCTAATTCCTTCCACACAGTAAATGAGGAGTTAAGTAAGGTTGAGACTCTAAGATGTGCCACCTTCCAGAGTCTTGGTATTCCTGAAATGCTGTTAACAACTTGCCCGGGTCACTCAGCCTAGGCAAAAAGCTTGCTACAGTGTCACCCTCAACCTGGGCCAGGTCCTGTGGTTGCTGACTGTCCTGCGCCTTATCCGGTTCATTCTAGGACCCAGAAGAAATGTCCCTACGT